CCGGTCCCAGCAGACCGATGGTTCGGTCGGACCGGTTCAGACCGGTTAACACCGGTTTGACCCAAATAATGTTATTTTAATTTCGGTTCACATTTTAAGTGCCTTTTCAGTTAATATTCTGGGATTATTTCAGTTCAGTAAATTCATGTCCGATCAGTTCATGTCAGTTCAGTTCCGGTTGTTCCGATTAAGTATAAATATCATGTCAGGTTCAGTAGAGCATCTTAACGAAATTAATCAGTTAAGTTAACAGTCTGAGCATAGTCATTAGTAATTGTTTATATTATTTTTCAGTTTGATCAGGCATCAGCACTACCGTTCAGTTTCAGCAGTTCAGGTGGGGACTCAAACTAAGTACTACATTGACTATAATTACGGTACCATGTTTGAGGTATGTATTTCATGTGAGGTATCCGCTCGGAATGGTCGCCGGTCCATTCTGGGTTTTAGTGGCCCTAGTCTGCCCACTAGAGTGTGCACATGGTGTCCGACATTAGTTTTTGCCGGCAGATGAGGTAACGGTCAGGGTCACGTTTGCGTGACGATATCAGATTCATGTTCATGTTATTACCGGTTTCATGTTGAGGTTATGTATATGCCGATATCATGATGTTGTTATTATTTTCAATGTTTACATTAGTATGAGTTTCCACGGAGCACGGTGTCATAGTGCTCATTTCCCACTTTTATCATATTTTTCAGGTCAGGAGGTCGGGCCGGGAGCGTGAGATGACAAAGGCTTCAGGACTTTCATGTTTTGATTGTATATTTATTATGACGATTTACGTTTCCGCTGATGATGACCTTTGACGAACTTATATTTTGACGAATTTTTGGAAAACTTTATGTTTCAGTATCAGTATGATTTTATTAAAAATTAAAATAATGATTTTCCAAATTAAGTCACGATTTTAAGGTAGCACCCCGAATCAGTTTTCGCAAAGTAAAAGGCTTTATTTTTAAATAACTTTGCGAAATTTTCGCACTCTGATTTTACGATAAGGTGGGGTGTTACAATTTCCGCTGGCAAAGGAGAACTCGCGACCTAGGGCAATTTTGCGGGCTAGGCAAGGGTTTTCGCGGGCGCAGAATTTGGCTTCTGCAGCATGTGGAGAATGAACTCGCGAGATACGGCCGTTTTGCGGGCGCGGAATCGTTTTCGTGGGCTGAAAATGGCCCCGGTGACCTCTTGATGCTCGATTCGCTCTAACTTCTCACACACAACTCCGATTCGCACGAAACTTGGACCAAAATTTCCTCATTGAATTCTCTTCGTCCCGGTATGGTTTGGTCGGGTTTTTCGGGTTGGATGGCTCGGTCGGCTCAGACAGCTCGTCTTCTCGTTCTCGACACGTTGGACCTATTCAACACCAATACAAAAGAGAAAACGCGCAAGAATACGAAAACACTATACAATAACAAAAATACACAAAACACGATAAAATGGACCGGTCGACACTAAAACGAGCATAAAACTATAAAATAAAGCACCCAAAACACACGAAAATAATGACAAAAAGACAACAAACAGGCCATCATTGCCTTTGACAGAGGGACGGGCTGTTACGCCCCGGCCGCCGACGCGCGTCTTCCCGACCTTCAACCTTCCCACAGTTGATCAGGAAATACTCGGGCCCGGAGGTTTGATCTTCATCGTCTTTGTTGCGGCATATATGTTTCTTCCGGGGGGGTCACGTTAATAAAGTTGGATAGCAGAATTTCCGCTCGTTGAATTTTTTCCTCCGACAAATTCGGAATGTTATGAGTTCTCAGTTCGGACACAGAAATCTTAAAGAATTGCCTCACGGGTCGAAAGAAAGAAGTTTTGCAATTCTGGTTTATCTCCGGCGAACTGCTTCTCATATACAAGATAAGGGAAAAACGGAGGGCCATTACCAAAGAGTTCTGGGGGACGGAGGGGTAGAAAGAGAATTGGCATGATAAGTATCGAAGATGACACGCTTTATATAGACGGAGGAAATGATTCGCGTGCACGCTTTTACTGCTAAGGCGTTTCGAAAAGCGGTTAAGATGCCTCGAAATCGGCAGTAACGTTCCAACTGCCAGCGGTTTCTAAACTATTCAAAAATTTAAATTTTAAAAATATTATGCTGTTCTCATACCTGAAAGAAAAAAAAATTAAACTAAATTGAACGATGAAAGATGAAAGAAATAAAAAAATAAATTTTTGAGTAGAAGTGCGAAGGGGGTATGCGAGCATTATGCGACAATTCTCATACCCCATCGCATAACTGAAATAACTGAAAGATGAAAAAAATAAAAAATAAACTTTCGAGTAGAAGTGCGAAGGTGGTATGCGAGCAATATGCCGCAATTCGTATACCCTATCTCATAACTGAAATAACTGAAAGATGAAAGAAATAAAAAAATTAATAAAAAATACACTTTCGAGTAGAAGTGCGAAGGGGGTATGGGAGTAATATGCGGCAATTCGCATACCGCCTTGCATAATTGAAAGATGAAAGAAATACGAAAAAACTTATTATGCACCAATTCTGCGAATAATATGAGACGTTGGTATGTCGCAGAATAATTTTTTTCGACTAATAATCACAGTTCATACGCCTAACAAAAATAATTATTTAATGGGCGACGGACCGCGATTGACCAAATCGTACATCGAATCTCCGCATATTCATCGCATACTTTAACTCATAATTTTCTCGCCCATGCTCATACCGGTCGTCTATCTATCGTATAATTTTTCGCATATCTCTTCGTACTTTGTGGGGTGAAAAACTTAACTTTTTATTTGGTGGTGTGAAAAACTTAGCAGGACTTCAAAATGAGGTGAAAATAGCTATTTCCTCTCTCTATATATATATATATATATATATATATACATTCAGTCATTCACTATGGCCGGAAATCACATTACATTCACTTTCACTTTTTGGCATTTTATGCTTATGAGACGAATTGTGCATTTTTTTTTCATTATTGTTGTTTTTTTTAATTTTTAGGCCCAAATAATCTCTTTTGGGCCCAAAATTAAAAAATAAAAATTAAGCTCAAAATGAAAAAAAAAATAAAAATTGAAGGCCAATGATTTTGGATTTAATCGGTTAACCTTCAAACCGGACCGTCCAATGCGGTCCGAATTGTGACCGGTTAAAAATAAAACCGGTCCAATTATAAACAAAAAATAAAATTAACCGTTAGGTCTGGTTTGGTCTTGGTTTGAGCTAAGACCGGACCAATCCAAACCGTTAAACACCCCTATCTTAAAGTGACTTTCATCTAAAGTGAATAAATCTTAACAGTTAGGGCTTGATTGTTTATGAAATAATTTGTTCAAAATGAGTTATTTTGATTAACCATAGTTAATTTAAAAAAAGTGATATGGTTAGTTGTTAGTGGAATTTTAAGAATGTATTAAAATAATATTTAAAATAAAATGAGTAAAATTGATTTGATGTAAAAGTAAGAGATAAATGATTAAAAATAATTGGAAATGATAGGTAGTTAAAATTATGTGAGTGGATGAATAGTGAATTAAAGTTGATGTGATGTGTAAGAATGATTGGTTTGTATTATTTAATTATATTAATAATATTAAAGATAGTGGGGTTGAGTTAAAGTTGAGTTAGATTTTGAGTTGAAATAAAAGTGAGTAAATTATTTGGTAAACAATCAAGCCCTAGAATAACCCCAAATGGATCCAAGCAAGGCTCATTCATTTATTCCACAAATGTAAATCAAAACCAACGTAATCATGAGTATTCTGCTGTGATCACGCAATAGCACATGCGTCATAGGACCGACCCTCAACAAACTTAGCTCAAATTACATTATAATTAAAAAATTACCAAAAACAATAATAAAAATAAAATTACCGTCACTCTCTCAAGTCTCAAAACACACACACAGACTAACGTCTCCACAGACCACTCTAGCACTGTCAACAGCAAATATTCTCTCTCTCTCTCTCTCTATCTCTCTCTCTCTCTC